ACCCTTGTACAGTGTCCGGGCAACAAATAATACTAAAAGTGTTTAAAATGTTCGATAATTCTCCAGGCAGTACGTGCAAAACCTAAGTCACTCCGAGAAATTTAACAGATTTTGGGGCTCGCTGCCAGCACCAGCTTATGACAGCTGGCCTGGAAATGCTTCAGCTTTGATAACCCAATTCTCATTCACTCGGTGGCAAGTGATAGTAAACAATATAAATTAAATGAGAGGATTTATTTGCATATTTTTTCAGCCCACTCTAGTTTTTCTGCAAATGTGTTAATTTTGAGCTTCCAATACAATCATTTCGTATTTAAGACCTGGCAGCAGTGGTCTGGTTCTCAGCCCCCTTAGCCCTGAGGGGGCAGCACGGGGAGAGCAGCTGTTTCTCTTTCCTGCTCTGCAGGTGCCTGATGCCTAGCCTCTGCTCTGCGCCTCCCTCTGCCCCTCAGAAATGATTACCCCAAATCTAGGCCTGGGATGAAGAGATTGAGGGGAACCAGAGGAGGTGGAGCTTGAGACTATGGGGAAGGTAAAGGTGAAATGCTGCTTCTGCTCCCCTGGACTATGACATTGAGCCCTGGGCCCTGCAGCACATTCAAATGGAAGCTGGATAGAAAGTAGCTTTGAAGTTGTGTGTTTTCTGGCACTAACTTTGTGGCCTGTGGGTCTCCTTAATGCTGAATGGACATATTTATGGTGTGATAATTACTTCCCATGTGTGGCTGGTCTGAACTTATCACATGATTCACCCATTAATTGCTTCCTATATGTAACATGGTAGGGCCTCAGTGACAAACCTGTGGTTTGGGGGCTCACATGGAAGCCCTTCACCTCATGCTACAAGGAGCTCAGACCTTACTAAACTCTGTGGTTCTTTGTTGCAGGTATTGCCCTCGGGGCTATAGGGTAGCCACCCCCCACGCAACAACATGCCCCCATTGCTGAAGAATCTGGCTCCTCAGTCATCTGAGGATGCATTGAGCCTGACCAACATCATCCTCAACTTCAAGGGACCGAAAACGATGATATGGTAGTAGTGGGAGCAACAGGCCTGTTCTTTCTTGGTGCATTTCCATTTCTTCTAGTGGTCAAACTCAAGGATTTCATAGGTTTCATAGACATTAGGGCTGGAAGGGACCTCAGAAGATCATTGAGACCAGCCCCCTGCCCGAAGGGCAGGAAGTCAGCTGGGGTCATAGGATCCCAGCAAGATAAGCATCCAATTTGCTGTTGAAGGTGTTCAATGTAGGTGCTTAAATTTCCCTTTCCCACAGAAGTTTGCTCATTACAGTTAAATATGATCATTTTGTCATTCCTAGAGAATTGTTAATGATAATAATCAATGAGTCATTAATCCTTGGTAGTCAGCCTATTTTCAGTTGTAAGGTAACTAGTCATCATTCATATACTCACAGTAGAACATCCCCTAAATCAGCAATACCTATACAAGATGTCAGACAGATCAGTACAGTGGCAGAGATAGGTTCCTTACCAGTGGTAGATTAAGATTTATTGCCCTGGGCAAACAGAAAATCGGAGGCCCCCCCACCAGACGAGGGTAGGTTCCTTCTGCACCTGTCAGGGGGCTGCGGCTGGGTCTGTCCAGCCTCTTTTGCACATCTGGGGTGACCCAGGGGGCATGAGCACTGCTGAGGTGAAGGTGGCCTGCCCCAGCCCCTCTACCTGGCAGGTGCTGCGCAGACAGGGCTACAGTCCCCTAGCACTTTGTGACAAGCCAGGGCCAGCTGGGGGTGGGGAATGGGGTTTGAGCTGCCCCCAGCTGCCCACCCACCCTCTGCTGGCCCTGGCAGGGCAGGGTTGTCCCATCCAATCCCATCCTGTCCCAGCAGCGCTGGTGCAGGCAAGCCTGCAGACAGTGGGAGCGGGGCTGCCCATGGGCCCTCCGGGCAACAGGCAGCCCGAAGAAGCCACTGCCACCACCCACATGCAGCCCCACACCCACCCTCTAACCAAGGGGTGGGCAATTATTTTGGACAGAGGGCTACTTCCTGAGTTTTGGCAAGCCATCGAGGGCTGCATGACAGGCAGCCCAGGACAGATAAATATTAATTTTTTGAATTTTTTAGGGGCCCCATGGACCAGATAGAATGGCTTGGTGGGCCCCATTTTACCCACCCCACTCTAGCCTTTGGCCCTGGCCAG